AGAGAGAGAGAGAGAGAGAGAGAGAGAGAGAGAGAGAGTAACAGAGTGAAAGAGGGAGGGGGGAGGGAAATATTCTAATTGTAAGGAATTAGAATAAATTGGAAAGTTCACTCAATTTTGATTTGAATATTTTTAAATTTGTTATTAGAACCATTGATTCATGATTGGATGGAACATCTTCAGCAAACTATGAGAAAACAGGAGCAAGAACAGATTGCTAATGCAACTGATTTTGCCATGCCATTTATAGGTAGGCAATGAGAGAATAAATATTGTGTCGCGTACAATGAATTAAGAGATATTGAAAGATATTTGGAAAATTTGTTAGAATATCATTTTACTGCTTTATTTTAAATTATATTATAATCACAGCGATTCCAGCATCTACTATGAAAGCTGCTTTCAAGATAGCGGAATATTTGGAGTTAGAGCCAAATGTCAAGTATATGGCTGTTGAACTGTACGACAGATTCATGTGTAAACACTTTTGGGAGCTTTTTAAGACTGAGTTTGTAAATGATCCATCTGAAGCATCATGGTTTAAAATTTGCAAGAAAATTTCTAATCAAACAAAATTAAATCTAATGTCATGTTTTCAATTGGCGTGCAAAATGGATTCTCATTCCAGTATTTTAGGAATACCGCAAGTACATTGAAAGATGATACTTTGTAAAGAATTTAAGCATCATGACAAATCTTAACAGATAAAATTGTTTTGTTAGATTCTTAATATTTTATATCTGATTGACAAAGAATCTGAATATACGCGAAACATGATTTCCTCTTCGGAAATTAAAGTTTTCAAAACAGTAGGATTTACAATGCCCCTTTACACACCATTGCACTGTATCGAAATTCTTCTGGCAGCGACAGGTCTCGGAGAAACACCAAATACGTTTAACATTTCGATAGATTTATTGGATTTGGCTTATCTAAAGGTTTAGACATTATCTAATTTATTTCTTCATACAATTGACATTTATACAATACATATTTCACTAAATTGTACATATTTCCAGCATGACAGATTGTATTCACAATTTCATTCATATTATATGCACAAAGATACTGTAAATACAGAATATGTAGCTCGGAAACTGATATCATTGAAATCAAACATACTTTACCTAAGTGCAGCAATAGTATATTGCACAACGTTTTTTCTATGTTTGGATACAAATGCTTTGGGAGAGCAAATTATTGTAGCAAAATTGGCAGAATTATCAGATACGACCGATATTGATATTTTCAATATGGCCAATATGTTGCTCTCAATAGCAACACAAGAATAATGTAATAGACTGCATATTAAATAATTTTACATACGCACGCATGTGTGTATTGTACTATATAAATACACGTTATACAGATATGTATTGTGTAAATACTTTGTAAACAAAATTAAATTAATTCTTATTAATACATCGCATGCAATTATATGTACATTTTTATTTATTTAGATCATTTATGTACATTATATATACATATATATACATATATGTGTGTATGTGTGTGTCCCAGCAACGAGAATGGATTAAAATGGATTGAAATTTTTTTCTATTCGAATATA